TACTACGTCGTTACAGTATTTTGACTCCTGTTACATATGTACATACTGCTTCGTGTTCACATCAATCCATATATTCCTCTTATTATACATTCGATTGAGCACACGAGGCTGTACATACCTAATTGACATGTTTAAATATGTTACCAAATATGGACCGGCTCACGGAGCTCGCGAGAACGAGGCTGGAGCTCATGGAGCTCACGAGCACAATACAGGCGCTCATGAGGCTCGTGAGCACGGACAGGGGACTGACGGGGCTAAATGAGTGACCATAATAGGCTGTTGGGAGCCCGGTTGCCATATGTAAGGCGATCATGATCGATCAGGAGCTAACTTAGTACGGTCGGCGAGCGCTCAGAATCAGGGGGGGTGGCTCGTTCGCTCGAGCAGGTTCTGAGCGCTCATGAGCACCCGGGGAGGAAAATCAATTTTGCAGACGTATGTTGCGAGTGCGCTCTACGCCTACGTTGAAGCACGTATGATATAGCTAGTATACTGTATTATTGGTTGATCATGATGCCTGCCTCGTCCGGCAGATGTTATCTCTACGAGAATAACTCTAACAACTATGGTCGCCACGATCCCCAAGGTGAGAAGGACTTCTTGAGCAGGCGCGGCTATATAGTACGCGAGTTGCATATAGGGATACGACTAAGAGTACACGCCTCAGAACATATTGGAGACGCCTGTATAAGGCGAGGCTGTTATATCAACTTGATTTCAGTACACCAGCCACCTACACTAGTAGATTCCTAAGTATATGCGCGTTCGTCGGAACACTTTCAGCGCAATCATACAAGACAACTGCAAGCAAACAGTATTAGGTTTGGATAACAGCTTCGCCGCCGCATACAGGTAAAGCCACTATGAGGGAATGCAAACATTTTAGGTAAATAACACATAGAGTAGTTTAAAACTTTAGACACATAGAACTATTACTACACTAGTGTTGTACACCCAAGACTCGTACACGGCGTAGCACCCGCTTTCAAATAATGCCGAGTTCAGCGAGACTTGAATGGTAGTGCGAGCACCCGAGAGACGTCTAGCAGGCGATCGGTGGGTGTGTATTAGGTGCTTCAAATTCATGTTGCTGAAATCTTGGCCAAGATTTAACCAGCCACGGAGAGCAAGTCTACGTGATTGACAGGCGATTGAAGGGCAAAGCCCAGAGCCAAAAGCTCTAAGGATTATGAGTTCACATCAGACCCCTAAGCTCCATATATTTGCTTTGGTTAACGATTAGTAACTCCCGCTTAGCTCAGTGGTAGAGCGCGTCACTAGTAGATTTGAGCGTCTTGAATGCTTACGTAATCCTTCTTACGTTGGTACTATGAAAGGGAGTCATAAGCTACTGACGGGTAGCCTCTTGAGATGAAGAGAGGATAGGAGGCAAGAGTCAGATAGTTACTGTACTCACCCAGACAGAACTGATCGTTTGTCTTTCATTTGCTAACAACTCCCTCTTAGCTCAGTGGTAGAGCGCGTCACTAGTATGTCACTTCACGTGTGTCATAACAGAATGACGAGGTCATCTGTTCGATCCAGGTAGCGGGAATTTTTTGTGACTTTCCGAACCACTGTACTGTCACTTGTGTTCGAATTCTTTGATACCTGTTTAGACCACTTGAGTCCGTGAACCCAGCTTTTTTATGTAGCTCACAAGAAGCGAGGATAGGTAAGAATTCAGTGGCACTGAACTGATATTGGTACTGAATATGCTTGCGTAGTATATAACATCAGGCGACCTTGCTCTGGGTCGCACAGGTTATTGTCGGTGGCGAGTCAAGGTCACACTCAAGCATCGAAAAGTGAGTATACCATAGCATACACGCACTTGTCTCATTTTACTCGTCCAGGGCCATAACGTGACATTATAAGCTCAAAGGGTACAGAGAGACACGGTCAGTCCAAGGGCTGGCTGCTAAATAAAGCACCTTGGCCACAAATCTTGATCCCGCCAATGTAGCTAAGTAGTAGGATCACCGTTTACCACTAACGGGCATTAGCATACCACAAGCACGTTGAGACAAGAACATACCTAGGTAGACCTGATCTCTAAGCACCGTGTATAGACCCTCAGAGCGGAGCAGGTCACGGCCACATTTTCTCCCGGACTGATCGTGTGCATGCATGTAAATATTGGCCAATAGGTGTGAGAACCATCCGTGAACAGTAGCTGCACGGACTCGCCGGCCACTAATCCCAACAAACCTCTCTGCCTAAGGCCACTTGAGTAAGAGTATGGCAGACCCACGTCACTTACCTGAAAATGAATGAACCTTGGTGCATAGGTTCGAACCACATCTGCCTCCCAAAAGTCTTCGACTATGATGGGATGGGCATATGTGGTGACACAAGCTTCAAATGCTTGCTTGGACATGGCACGGCGCCGGTCAACCACCTGCAATTGATTAATGTTATCGGTCAACTCTGTGTAGCCACGTTCAAATTTGGCCACAAGCACAATTAATAATCATGTTCGCGTCATGCTAAAAGCTGGCATATGTAAATGCGCACCTGCTGGCAGATTCAACTGGTTGGCCATTGTGGTTGAGTGTTGATTATTCTCTGGGTGTGGTGTTGGAGTCATAACGTGGGGATCAATGTGGCACGCTGAGTACAAACGAAAGCTACAGTGTCTATTGATCTGGTCATGTGACCTTCAAGATGCCTAGCGCTGTATAATTCTAAAGTAAAGTCGTACTCCGCTCTATGGTCGAATTTCAGATACCAGGCTCCCTTAATCCCGAGGCTTGATAATTCATAAGATTTATATTAAAGATATATACCGAAGCGAGATGTGATTACTGGAAATTACAAGAACAAAGCGATTACGCCGACAAAAGAGTGACACGAGCGAAAGTACAGCCTCTATATACACCCGCCAGAAATACAAACTTGAACCCAAGTTAAAGCGGGGTCATGACAAGGGGCATCCGATGACCTAGGTTTGACATGAGTACAAGAGCTACGAGGCTGTAACCGCTCTCACCTTTGGAGAACTGGTTGTCCACATAAGGTCGCACGACGAGGAAATTGTGTCCGTTCATCGGGCTTGCACCCGAAAAATCAAACGAAGCAACTAGTACAGCCAGCATCGTCTTGATCTCAACGAGAGCCCATCGAGAAGCGGGACAAGACTATCAGAGCCGTTAGAATCGGACATACTACACATCAAACAAACTTACATGAGGACCGATTGACCAGTTCATCAGATTGGCATACAGACCCGGTGTTGTCTTTGCAGTCTCAGGCAATTTGTTCCACCGATCGGGACTATCCAAGCGATAAGTGTCAAGCTATAACTAGTGGGCCAAGACTCACTTGAACTCATGTGCGTCTTCCCCCTAGACCGACTTGGACACATTCATTCCTTCGAGCGGTACATGCACAAACTCGCCCTTTCGGATCCCAGCCCCGCCACCAGGCAAGCCGGTCTGGGCACCTCCGACCCACGCGCAAGACTTCACCTCGCTCCCCCACACGCGCAGGCTCGGACACTGGAATAATATCGTCGTGGGCCGCAACACGCAGCGTGCTCTGTACGCTCGGGTGCAATCGTAGGGCCTCCCGGATGAAGCATTCAAAGAAAGGTAAGGCGTCTATCTGGCTGGCGAGCTCGCCTAGTTCACCAGTGAGGTCTGCGTAGTTGTTGGTCGAGTCCGAGGAGCAAGCAGGAGCAAAGGTTTTAAGGATGGATGCAAGAGGAGCAAGCTCGGTTCGAAGGGCTGGTCACATGACACTCCTCCAAACAATAATACCCAAACTCGCGCATGATTCGGCCCAGCGCATTCATTCCACACATAACAAAGCGAATACAATAGCAATAAAAACAGCGATAGAAAGGAAAGACTAATGAGCTAGCTCAACGACCGTAATGTTACTGGAGCTCCTCTCCAGATCGTCCACAACCCCGACAAGCGTGTTTCCCTTGGAAAACATGCCCAAGATTGTACGAAGCAAAAGGCGATGCGCAACCTCACGCTCCTTGAAGATTCGACTATGCTCTTCAAACACCGTTCCGAGCTCCTTCACGATATCGGTCAATGCCTGTCCGAGGCTTGAATCGTGAAAGTAGCGAAATGAGAAATGGGGGCAAATAATAACGAGTGATCCCAACTAGTGCGCGTTAGCTATTGCACATCAGGTTTTATGCTATACTCACCTTTCTATATGCAAGTAGTAAGCGCATAGCTCCTCTACGGTAGTCCTTTGCTTGACTAGTAAACAAGCGCCAGTGATTGCTGTCCTTGTCCACCATTGTGCCTTCTTCCAAGCCAAATTTTTTGCGGAAGATGGTTGACAGGACCTCGTTTTTCGCAAGCTCAGCGTCGTCTTTCTTTGAGAGTGAGTTCCAGTTGATAATAAAACGAAGGGTGCCAAGAGACTCCTGGACATGTTGGACCAGGTTGGTGAGGTTGTGTACCGTGATCGGGTCGCCTCCTTGGGCAGGACTCGTGCCCTGCAGCGGATTTGAGTATGTAGCAGGATCAAAAGTAGTAGACATACCAGATAAAGGCTAGCTAGGTCATCTTTTGTCAACTGGTTGATATCACTAGCCGGAAGGGATAACGCTTTTTTGAGGAGCTCGCTGTGCTTGAATGATTCAAGACTCTCGGTCTGGCCAATCGTTCAGTATAAACCAAGCCAGGGCTAAAAGTACCTACGTATTCCTCTACAGTCGCCTTATTTACCCCATGCATTACTAGAGCAAGTCCGACGGCCAAAATACCCTTGCGGGTGGGACCACTAGTTGCCATCATCTTCTCCAAGAAAGCGTCGATATCATAGCTCCCGTCCGACAGACGCGTTTTCAAGTCGTCAAGAAACTCGACTGAGCCAAACTATGGGAAAAAGTGAGTCAGAAATGGCGCATACATCCTGCTTACTTACCACCACAACGTGCAGCGTCTCCTCCTATGGCCCCGATCAGTCACATCCTCTGCCACGCCACTCTACTCACCCGTTTTTTCTTGTTTGGCTCGTTGTTCTCCTTGGGAGCAGCGCGCTTTTGGCGCGTCTCCTTGACTGTGTCAAGGTTCTGTAGGAACAGGTAAGTACCCTCTATAGAACAATGCACGCACTCACCTGGTTGGCTGCCGTAACCTTTTTGCGTCCAGCCGAGAGCATCCCTCTCACCTCCTTGACTTGCTGGCGCCCTTCAGTATTCTTCATGTTTGACAAGTCAGCCTCGGAAAGTGCGTCAAGAAGGTTGTGGTACTGGGGCAACTCGGTGCGTGCGCGTTCAATCAACTGTTGGCTCATGGTGGCACGCGTCCAAGGCACCACTTTGCATCCGCTCCTGGGACAAGGCTGTTGCACGTGACACAATAGCCACATGTAAGACGAGTACTATCAATGACAAGCCAGCTGTTTTGTATATGTTTTAGCCTAGAAAGTTAAGTGCACGAGGCCCTTGGTGTAATATTAAAGGCTAGCGTAGACGAGGGAATATGTGTGGCGTGTGGTGTGTGATGTGTGGCGCGTGGCGTGTGGCGAGGGAGACAAGTACAAACACCGCGCTCCTTCATAAAGCCTGTGTCAAACGCACCAGACCTACTACCACACTCTACCATCGCGTTTAGAACTTCTCAACCATGGCTCAAGTAAGCTTATAAGTTCTCTCTAGTGCTATTCTATCTCTTATTTGTGACGAAAAGGACTTTGAAGCTCGCTCTGTTTCGCCGCCAGTTCGTGCGCCGGGTAAGGCAAAAGTTGCTCGTACGCGCTATAATTTCACCCCATTTTCTACGACTAACGTGTTTACTCAGCCAAGACCACTGTAGACCAAGACAAGACCGGTATTGAAGATGGGGAGGCTGGTAAGTAGCGCATAGATTCACCCTTTTCCTTGAACTTACCTTGCCTAGAATATGTACCAGACAGCGACGAGGCAAGTCGAGTTTTTAACTTGTGGGCATGCAAAAACTGACTTGGAACTCACAGGAGGCCCCGAGTAAATCGACAGGTATGTGCGCTTGACTTGATATGCGTTGACTAACCTGTCGCGTAGCTACTCGCATGACCACGCGTGCCAACAAGAACGGCAAGTGCAAGCCGTTCTATCTCCTTACCCGCAAACTAAACTTTTGCTACAGCTAAAGGCAAGGCTAGCGATTCTTCAACTACCGGCGCCCTGATTACATCTGGCGGGCGCAAGAAGCGGGCTGCTCGTAAGTACCTCACCACTTGCGGCGCTTTTATCGCTCATATGGTCGTAGCCAAACCCCCTGCACCTAAACCCAAAAACAACCCCACGGACAGCGAGGGTGTGTTTGCTCTATCTATCTTTGTTTCTTGACTCACCCCTTGCAGAATTCGTGACAGCCAACGAAACTTCGCCGGATGTTTCCATGGAAGACGGGACCAGTAAGTCAAAACTTTTTCCATATTGAAACATACTGAGCGAGTATCTAGGTGGCCCAGCTGCACGTAGGTAGTTTGCCATGTACTCGAACATCCAACTCATTTTCTCAAAGGCGCCACCGGCAAAAAATCAACCGAAGGTATGCGCTCTTTTATATAGTTACAACGTGTGCTGATACATCCTAGGTC